GTAAGCAGTTTTCCTTTGAGACTGAGATCAGCAATGTCAGATCGTAGCATGAGTTTTATTTCAATTAAAAAAGCTCATAATTCTCCAAAAAGGTTTTTTCCGTTTTCAAATCAGGTAGAGGATTGTCGTTCGATAGACGCACATAACATAAATTCAATCTACAATTTTGTAATTTTTTTGATGATTTGTAACTTGCGCGATTAAACGCCTAGTTTTCCGAAATGCTCTGTTATTAGTGATGCGCAAAACATTAGCGATTGATAGAAAGAAAGAAGTTTCCGAAAAATATGAGGTTAAATGGCAATTACAAAATTTTTATATCTGATTCAATCCGTATCAGTGAAAGTGAAAATTATGCCAAAGTTCTTTGTGCATTCCTCATTTCGCGCCATTCTAGAGCTGAAAGGGAGAGGAAGATGTAGTAGAATAATTTTACTACCAGATAAATCTACATGTATGCATGATGATGTATGCATGTATGCAATCTATATGTATGTCTGAATATTTATATGTATCGCTCTTACATTATATAGCGTTTACCCATTCATTCGTTTCATTCATTTATGCTTTGTTTCCAGCTGTGTCACCTTTGCAATAACCTTCTTGACCTTTGATTAATGCGCGCAGGTAACAATTGCGTTGTGAGATGCCAATCAGCCATGAAGGCGTGTTCGAGCAAAAACAGTCTTGTGAAAATGAAAATATTCTCAATTTTTCTCAAAAACAATCTTTCCTCAAAATGAATTGTATAAGAGTTATGAAAATTGACCTACCCTGCTCACCACGTGGACCCCACGCTCCTATGCGTCCAATTTCTCCAACGCCTCCTTGCTGGCCTTCCTGTCCGGTTTCTCCGGGTTTTCCCGGTTCACCTGGGTAACCACGTGGTCCACGCTCACCAGGTTCTCCGTGTAAGCCTTTGATGCCCATGATGCCATTAGCGCCAGGATTTCCGGGAAGCCCTGAACTATAAAATTCAACGAGTAGAAAATTGGAGTTGTTGCAGCTGTAATTTATCTACGTGTGTGATTTCTCACATAACCTGCAAGTCATAAAGCACTTTTAATGCAATGTTGAAGCGTCAAATTGCGCCTGTGTGAGATACGGAACAGAGATGCGGCGGCAGCCGACTGGCGCTGTGTTGGTGTTCCCGTGAAGAGAACACTCAGCTCACTCGTAGAAATCATGACGAGATTTTTGGCGACAGAGGAACGGTGCTTATGAACCTACTAGCTGGCATACCCGGCTCCGCCCGGTATAGTTGGA